GGGAGGAAGTGAGAAGGAAAAGCTTCGGGACATATTTTAAATATTTTATTATGAAAAATCTCAAATAGAGACAAAAATGATAGGAACACAAAAGTGGAGTGAGGACCCATCAAAAAACTTCGGCTCCTGGCATATTTTGCCTTTTTCCATACTCATTTTCCCCCAAATCCCACCAGAATCATGAGAAGCCAATAGTAATCCATAAATAATTCAGTATGGAACTCTGAAAGTTAGATTCTTGTTAAAAAACATCATCACATCTGAAAAACTTAACAATACCTTAACATCATCAAATATCTAATCAGCATTCAAATTTACTCGATTGTCTCATAATTTTATGCTTTTACAATTTTCTTTTGGGGATCAGTATTCATTCAAACAAGGTCCACGAACAGCATTTATTTCATATTTCCTAAGGTTTTATAACCTCAAGATATTTTTTTTTTATAACCTCAATTGTTCTTTTTTATTTTCCTAACACTTATTTTTAGGACTGGTTTCTCACATTCTAGATTTTGCTGAATGCATTCCCATGGATTGTTTAGCATATTTCCTGGTCCCTTAAATGTCTCCTAAATTGACAACTGTATCTAGATCCTTGATCAGATTCCATTTATTGCTATTAATTCTTTTGGAAAGAATGCTTTGAAGATGATATGTATACTTTTGTCTGAAAGCATTAAGTCTGACGTTTCCTCCCTTGTATTACGATTAAGCATTGGATTCAAAGATCTGTCACACGCAACCCCTCAGCTTTCACCTAATGTTCCTTGACAACACCAAAGAGCACTGCATTGACCCATCATGCCATACAGCATAGCCGACCAATGACACTGCAATAATATCATTCCATTTTTGCTCATTTGCTATAAAATCATAAAAGCAAAAAACAAAAATCCCCTTCAAGTGTTTGATTGCCTCAAGGTATCATTTAAACAGAAAAGATGGGAACATGTTTACTTAGTTTATTTAATCAGTTTTCAGAAAAAAAAAAAGGTGCTTTTTAGCATTCTCCAAAAGCTACCATTGTGATTTTTTTTTCCTGTACCATCGTGAGCTCCTGGACTTAAAATATTTAATATATTTCAATGCATTTTCCTAGTTCTTTCTAAATTAAACGTTTTTTGATCATTGTGACTTTACATGCAATCGTAAGAAATAATAGAGATCCCGAATACCACTCACCCAGTTATCCTCAGAAATGACAACCTACATCTTTAAGAATGAACTCAAGCAGGACTTCAACATTGGTGCAGTAAGGTGCAGAACTTCTCTATAGCCACAGGGATTCCTCATGCTTCCCTTTTGTAACCCCATCCATTTGCCTCCTGTGCCCATTCCCTCCTTAACCCCTGGTGTTATGGTTTGGATTTTAAATATGCCTCAAAGGCCGGGATGTTAAAGACTTTTTTGTTAGCCTATGACTCTATTGGGAGGTAGTGAAACCTTGAGGAGGTTGAGCCTTGTGGAAGGAAGGAAGTTCATAGGGGGCATGTCCTTGAAGGGAATACTGGGACTCCAGCCCCTTCCCCTGACCCTCTCTCTCTGTTTCCTGGGTGCCATGAGGAGAACAGAGCTCCTCTACCACCTGCATGCTCCTGTCGAGATGTACACACCCAAAGTATGGAGCCAAGAGACTGTGGACTGAAACTGTGAAACTAATATTTTTTTTTATAAATTGAATGACTTAAGTATTTTGTCACAGTGCCAGAAAGCTAACACACTCCAAAATCATCAATCTAGTTTTTCTATGATTTATCAGGTCAAGATTATCATATAAATGGAATCACATGTTTAGAGACCGACTTTTCTCATGTAGTATGATTCTCTGGAAATTCATCTAGGTTATTGCATATATTAGTTCATTTCTTATCACTGAGTAAATATCCCATGTCTTGGATGTGCCACGTTTGTTTAAACGTTCATGTTTTGAATAACATCTGGGTTATTTCTAGTTTGGGAATATTATTAAGACAGCTTCTATAAACATTTTCCAATAAGATTTTTGCATTCTGTAACTTCTAATTTCTCTGGGGAAAATATCCAGGAATATAATCTCTGGCTCATGTGGCATCTACTTCTTAATTTTTAAAAGAAAGTGCCAAACCATTCTCAGTGTGGCTGTGCCATTTTGCATTCTGTGCCATTTTGCATTCCCCCGGGCATTGCATGAGTGATAAAGTTTCTCTACATTCTCAACAACATGCTTTTTTTTTTTTTCTTGTATTTCCTTTTGTGCCCATGGATGTTTAAATTGTTGAAAAACTGATTCTACCAGCATGGAATCACCTATATACTATTTTTGTCAAAAAAACACAAAACTCTGAAATACTGGGTTTTTAATTTTTAAGTTTTTGGGGGGAGTGCATACCAGGGATTGAACTCAGGAGCACTCGACCACTGAGCCACATCCCCAGCCCTATTTTGTATTTTATTTAGAGACAGGGTCTCACTGAGTTTCTTAGCACTTTGCTTTTGCTGAGGCTGGCTTTGAACTCAACGATTCTCCTGTCTCAGCATACCGAAGCCGCTGGGATTACAGGCATGTGCCACCGCACCCGGCATTGTTTATTTTTATCTGACTATTTTTTAGTCTATTTTCTCTCCATTCTTCAGTACTGTCACAGAATTCCAAGTTATCCACTGTGGCTTTATCTGTGACTGCTGGGAAGAGTTGCGGGTTCTACCTCCCTAACAGTTCTCCATTTTTACATAGTAGGGCAAGATAGTGTCTTTGATGTGGCCTCCACTTACCTTATGGGTTAAGACTGAGGGTGACCCTCATTACTACTGCATAATGGCAGAAGTCCTAAATCTCCACTAACCTGCTTGATAACGCCCCACTGAGTAGAAAGAGAGTGTGGCATACTACTAACAAGGTGGATGGAAGCCAGGCTCTCTTTTCTTTCTGTCGGCACTACTGGAGGTGTGGGGACATTTCTGTTGGCATTACTAGTGTGTGGGGGACTTGTCTTAACAGAGGACCTGTTCCTTACTGGTTTTTCTCAGCCACCTTCCTAGCAGGGTTGCTGGGCAAATATAGAAGCTTAGGTTTTCCACTCAACCTTGGATGTAGTGGTTGAGGGTGGTGTTTGGCTAGAGAACAATGGTAATGGCCTAAGTTTTCTGTCTTCATTGGTTGCTCTTTTCCTTCTCCTTTGGATACAGACAGAAGAATTTTGAAGGGCTTTTTCTTCTAGTCCACCTCCATTTTCAAGATACTGTTCTTAGCCAACAGATCTGGGACATAGGAAGCACAAAGAAAACCCTGGGATTTTACCACAAGGGTGTGTCTTTGACCCTTGGGTCATCAGCCAGTCTGCTTCCTTCTCTCCACTTTTCAGAGTCTTATCTTTGCTTTATTAACGCCCGGGGTTTTTTCTTGTACTGAGAAAAAGGAATAGGAGAAAAATGCAACTATTCCGTTTTCCTAGAGGCAAAAGACTAATTACTACTTTTGATGTTGAAAATTTTCAATATGTGGTCAAAGGGGGCATCTTCAAGTTGGCTTGTGTTTCCTTTGATTTTATCTTAGAAGTCATTGGTAAATGCCTTGGTTTACGGTAAGTTGCTCCAGGCTCATCATCTCACTACCTGAGTAAAAGTGAGTGTAAGTGTAGGTGTTTCAAAATAACCATACCAAAATGATACCTGGCAATATGGTTATGTAAGTTGTTCTAGATATTTTTTCTTTGCATTTTTATTCTGTACTTTGCATGTAGCATACAAATTGTTTCAAATCCACTTGAAGGAATTCCAGTATTTGATGATATTAAAAATGCCACATATGTGATACATTTTTAAGGCTCATTTATTTTATTTCTCTTTTGAGTTTTAGGGATTGCTTTGTTTCCATTTTGATTTTGGTTGTATTTTATAATCGTTTAAAACATTACTTAGTTTCCAAGTTACATATAGAAAACAAGGAATATAAAGAGTGGTCTAGTTTCTTTCTGTAATTCCTCCAACCCTTTTTGCTCTCTGTCCCACAGATTTGAGATGTGAAATTCATTGTATAAAACATGATGTATGATGAGCTTTGTTTCTGGGTTTCTATTCTGTTTTAATAGTATCTTGTGCTGCTATTCATGTTCCAGCTCCTATTGTTTTCATTGAAAAGGTTTGATGACATATTCTAATATTTTGTTGGGCTAACACACTCCTTTTCAGAAGAATTAGTCTTGTTTTGCAAGTAAATTTATAACCAACTTGATTAGCTTTTGAAATAAATCTAACATTATTTGGAGAAAGTATTATATTAGGTTTACACATTTGATTGTGGATATCTTTTAAAGACATCACGAAAAAAACTTCAGAGATGTCAGATGCAAGTTTAAGTGAATAAGAACAGAAGATTTTGAGGTACTTGGCTCAAGACAATGGAAGAATGGAGCAGCCAACAACTGACACAGAGGCAACCATGGTGGCAGCAGGATTGAGAGCAAAGGCCATGTGCTTAGTTTTAGATGTGCTACCCTTGAAAGCTCTATTATGTATCTAAATATAAACGTGAGGTCGGTAAATGGGAACATGAGTCTCAAATTTAGGGTGGAAGTCAGAGTTAGAAAGCTGAATTTTGGAGTCACTGTCAAGGAATTCATATTTAAAACCATACAACTGGCTGATATTGCCAGAGGAAGGGGATAATGGATACTTGATCCAGATCATAAGGACAGTTGTGACAAGTTGTGACATCATTATTCCTTGGAAAGGAGTAACCAAGAAGGATGCTGGAAGAATGTCGAATCAAAGATGAGACTACAATGGGATAAGACAACAGGGGAGGGGGAGAGAGAGAGAGAGAGAGAGAGAGAGAGGAGAGAGAGAGAGGAGAGAGAGAGAGAGAACGTGATATGTTGGTCCAAAAAAAGAGTGGAAATACTGAGTAAAACAAAGGCTCATAGAAGCAGCAGCTTAGGCCTCCATGCCCAGGGGATATGATGATCCAGTACACCGTCCCCTTTGTGATGTCATGTTCCACAGTTTGATTATCCTCGATAGACCACAGTCCAACATTCAGCCATCCACATGGATGTTGGTCCAGGATCTCCTGAAGCAGATGGTCCTCCTTCTGACATATCATCAGAAGGTCAAAAGCAGCCTAGTAGGACCTCCAAATACCTACGTCATCCACCCAACTTTTGTCACAAGGTAGGCATTGTCTTCTCGCATCATCTCAAGAGGAAGGGGGATGAGTACAGTACTGGAAGGTATATTGATACAGTGACCACATTCACATAGATTTTATTATAGGAGATTATGACAGTTGTTCTATTTTATTATTAATGATCCTTGTTAATCTCTTACTGTGCCTAATTTATATCTTAAATTTTATGATAGATACGTATGTACAGCATATAAAGGGGTTTGATGCTATCTATGGCTTCAGGCATCCACTGGCGGTCTTGGAACATATTTTCTTGGATAATTGGGGACTACTATTTAGGTATTATATTGTACCCATAATCCTCTTCATTAAGAAATCTCCTTGGGAGTCCGTCTTTGTTCTGATTTTATTGTACAGTGTCTACATTGCTCTTCTCTCAGAGTTCTTTTTGGTAAACAGTAGTTAATAATGTCTGGCTATCTTAATCATAGCAAGAATTTATAAGAAATCAAACTTCAGTTCTCTTAACAATAGAATGGATATTTCAGAAATATAGAGAACTTCATAACATTGGAAGGATGAAGATTGAGACTTGGGAAATGACAGTATTTTGTGACTATTGAGCAGCAGGAGGTGAGAAGCACAGCATCTGTGACACGTAGGAAGTATTTGGTAAAGAACCATCAAAGCTGAAGACAGCCCCAGCTGCCCTGGAAAACCATCACAGCATCTGGGAGCTCACCCCAAACATCCCTTCATCTTTGCATCACATCCTCCAAAATCAAAACCGTGGGCAAAAGCATATGATTGGCCAAACCAGGTTCAGTGGTCTCTGCTCTGGCTGCCAGGTGTGCTGAGAGAAGAAAGGTCTCACCTGCAGATTCCACTGCAGCAGGTAAGTAAGGACAATCTTCCAATAGTATGTGCAATAGCGAAATTTGTCAAATGTAAGAAAGGGATGAACACTGGACAACTAAAAATTAAACACTAACACACATATAAAAAAATCTGCTGATATGACAAGCTTTGATCAGTAAAATCTGAGGAAATGAGAAAGGAGATATGTCTGGGGACTAAAGGCATAATTTTAACACTAATTTCTGAAAAACAAATAGTAAAGAACATTTTATTGAAATTGCCAGCTAATAAACTTGGGACTGTTAGTAGCAAGGAATTGGCTGAGATGAGGAATCAAGGCTGAACAGGATCAAGGTCAGGAGAGGAATTGGTTGGACAATATTTTAAAAGAGCTTATTAAATGGCCAATCTGTTACCAATGAAATATTATAATGCACAAGATCTAATGTATGCAGTTATGGGATTGTAATTCAAAAAAGATCTTAAAAGCTTGGAATCCTGGGCCAAACATCCTAGAATAAATGGGAGAAAGGTAAATGGGGCAAAAGTGAAATTTTGCATGTAGGTTCAAAAAAAGCAATTCCTCTCTTAGAAGATGGAATAGCTTAGATACAGAAATGAGAAAGATCATATAGTTCAATTACTGCATTTGACAAGGATGTTAATTTGAAGTCCAGGAAGAAGGTAGAGAGACTTCCCTAAGGTTTCACAGCCAAATAGTAGTGGAACCAGAATTAGCACTCAAGTCTCATGACTAACTCCCTTAAAATGCTTGAATATTGCCATGAGTGCCTTCAACTTGGCATCTATTCCTAGGAAAATAATTTTATGAAGCTTAAGAAAGTATGTGCTTAATAGGTGCCAGAAGCATTAGCAGCTGTTAAAATAGTAACATCAACTTAGCCTGAACTAAAAGAAAGAAGGACATTGTCCAAAACTGGAAATAAATGTTGCTCTTCTTCTACTCAGGTCAGCCACTCCTGCAAGACTGTGCTCGTATCTGCCAGAGGGAATCCAGAGGAGAGATGGTGAAGGTTCTAGAAAATGATCACGGAAATGGCTGGAGGAAAAGTGGATGAGAAAGAAGCAGCTAAGAGAACAGATTGCAGCTGCCCCCCAAATACATCAGAAATTCTTGTGAGAAAAAGAAGGAAGTATTTTCTGGGTATCCCTGGTGGCAGAACTAGGATCATTGGCAGAAGTGACGGGGCCTGTGGGCCCTGTAGGTGGGGCTATATAAATGCAATCTCTTCTCCTTAATCCATCAGTGAGGGGTGCAGCTCAAAGTAATATAAGCTCCCTTTCAACACCTAGCTTTTTTGAGATTCTATTACTTTCCTAAGGCAGTTTTTTTCCTATCAGATATTAAAGTCTTTGAAATTAAGCTCATTATAAAGTCTCAGAGAGGAGCGACCCCGACTTACACTCTCTGTGGTCTCCACAGTGCCTAGAACAAGGAAAAATACACACAAAGTATTGAATCAATACTGGCTGGCTGATACAGCCTTTGATATTCTTTTCTATTCACCCTCCTTTTTCCACAGCCATTGATTCTGATCCACTTACTGGAACATAGCAAAAAAAAAAAAATTGTTATGCACACATATGCAAGGTATTGTAAGTATTTCTTCAAGGAAATACAGAATTAAGAAAAACAGTTTTAAGATGTAAATAATTATGCAGAATCATTCTTGTATATACATAGTTGTTGAAAAAAATTATGCCTGTTTTACATCTTTATGCACAAGATCACACACAGCCAAATCTAGTATCATTCCTGTAACTTTATCTTTCCTTTCCTCTGCTTCATATTATTTCTATGACCATTGCTTTTAATGTTGAGATGTGTGTATTATCATAAGATGAAAAGGAATTCACTTTGGAGGGCTGGGAAAAGGATGGATGAAGGAAGATTTTTGATAGAGTTTCTGGTTTGGTTAATCTAACTACAGCTGTCTTTTGCACGACTGTATGTATAGGAGAGTGACTTCAATGCTGAGCCTCAGTTTCTTCAACTGAAAAAATTAGAAATAACACTGCATATTGCTGTAAGTTTTCAGGAGGATTGGTGTCAACTCTGGATATCACAATTGCTCATTAAAATCAGTCCCCTTGTATTTGCCACTGATACTCCCCCAAGCAGGAGTCATCCCAAGTAATTTCAGGAGCCTTTGCAGTGTAGGAATTTTCATTTCCAATACTGTTGGGGAAACCCTGCTTAACCAGGAATGGAAATTGTATGTTACTTCTCTTGCCAATTCTGCTCAATTGGTAATGAATGCCCAGAGCCCTATTCCAAGCATTTCTAAGCTATCCAATGCACTTCCAGAAGACACAAGAGAAATGGAATAGTTATGGTGAGTACCACAGTGGAAAGTAACAATAAGAAGTGCATATATTTGCCTTTAGCAAATACTATTGCTAGACCAAGAAAATGTATGATGAAATAATCTAAATTAAAAGTCTGGATTTTCATTAAGTTTAATTAATTTAAATTACTTGGGTCTTGGTTTTCATAACTGTAGTAAAATTGAGATTGACAAAAATGATGATGATGATGTGGATGGTCATGACCCCGCCCTATCTAATGGAAACATGGAGAAAGCCGGAAAGGGAGCTCTTTAGAAAGCCATCATGAACCAGCGCAAGACATATGATTAGCCAAGTGCATGTTTAAAGGCAGATTGTCAGAAGGAGCCCAAAAGGGGGTTCTGGGTAGTTAGGAGTGACAAATAGAAAAGAAAGAGTCTAAAAGGGCCAAGAAGAGAAGGACCAAATAATTTTACTTTCTCAATTTGCACAGAGGCATCCTACATCATATATACCCCTTTAACAGGTGATGTAGAGGAATCACTGCAAAACAAAATCAAGGACTCTGCAAAAGGAAATGTCGCATCACTGTTGAATTAATAAGCTGCTTCCCTATTCTCCACTTTTACAAAGAGGGGAGCTGGCATGTGAGGGCTGAGGCTTCTGGACCCATTTATCATCTCCAGGGACATTGCTTTTCTTGTTTAGAGGACTGGCAGTCGTGGGTGGCAGGGAAGAGGTAAAGGCAGAGAAAACTTTTCTGATAGATGTGATAAGGGGTCAATTATTCAAAGTATTTTATATTTATTAAGTTCCCATGATATATGAAGCATCCACCTGTGAGGGTTGAAAAGGCAAATGGTGTTTGCTATAGATGAAGCCCAGGGAAATATTATGTGAAGGTGAATTGGGGGCAAGTTTGATGAATAAGTTAGTATTAGGTGAGCAAAAACATCTCTTAGGCCAAATGGCTTCCCATGAACACTGTGCAGAATGATTTGTCCACATGAATATAGTTTATCTTGAAGCATCCAAAGTGAGGGAGTGGTGTGTGTGTGTGTGTGTGTGTGTGTGTGTGTGTGTGTGTGTGAACATGCATGTCTCTGTGTACAAGTCTCTGGATAGTGGTGGGTGGTGGAGTAGAAACTAAGGGAGGAAGGAAAATAGGGAGATTGCTATTGAGAAACTGGACAACTAGGAAAATCTTGGAGAGGTGGATTCAAGCCCCCCGTACACTCACCAGGGATAGCAGGAACAGCAAAAAGAAAAGATCCTTGAGTCTTTTCAAGTCTAGTGTGGTCTGTGACATCATCCATAATAACTGACTTGTGATTTTACTAATTGGCAATAGTTATAGTTACAATAAATGCCAGTTCTGCCTTATTTAAACAGTGAAGGTCTCCCTTGGTATCCTAGTTTCTATCTATTGTACCATACCTTTCTAGTTCCTGGGAGCCCTTGGAAAGTTACTTTTCTCTTGTACCCACCCTCCCCTTCTATTCCCATCACTCACTAGATTACGTTTCTTTGTCCTTTGCGATTTTTTGATTGGCTTTACATGTTTTCAGGGATTGCCTTCACCCAAGGGTAAACTTGGCCCTTGATGAGTTCCTGTGGGGTAATTTTAAGCCTTTGGAATTACTCCTCTGATAAGAACATCCAAGCACAGGGCCAGTGACATTGCATAGAAGGCACCATAAAGCTGTCCTGTAGGCTTCTAATCCATCTGCCTCTCCCCCATCCTCTCCCTTACTCTTCAAAGATCATCACAGATATCAAGGCTCAAATGAGTCTGTGTTAGTCAGCTTTCCATCACTAGAACCAATACCTGAGATAGTCAACTTGTATAGAGAGAAGTTTTACTTTGGCTTACACTTTTAAATGTTTCAGTCCATGATCTGTTGGCGTGTTGCTTTGGGTCTGAGGCAGCACATTTTGATAGAAGAGCAAACCACTTAACTCACAACCAGGAAGTGAAACAGAAGGAAAAAGAGAAGTTGAGGTTCCACTGTTCCCTTTGAGGGCACACCCTCAATGATCTGAAGACCTCCCATGAGGTCTCCCATCTTACAATTTCTACCACCTTCAACAATGCCATGCTGGGAACAGATCCCTTAGCACATGGGTCTTTGGAGGACTTTTCAGATCTAAACTGTAGTAGTGTTTTTATAAATTCTGATGTTCATTGTCATATATGCTGTGTCAGGAATTATACATTATCCCATTTAATCCTTGCAAGACCCTTGAATAGTAAGCCTTGTAATACCCACATTACAGTGAGGAATCTAAGGCTCATAAAGGTTAAATGATTTGCCCAATTCTACAATTTAGGTGGAAGAGCTTGGGATTGGGACCTAGGTCTATCTAATCTCTAGATCTGGACTCAGAGTCACTAGACAGAGTAGCACACATGAGAATTCCACTGATCTATAAACTCACATATCATTATTACCTTGAATTCTGAGAAAGTGACACTTGAAGAATAAGAAAGGGCCAGGTATAAGTACTTTTAGTCTCTCCATTTCAAGAATAAAAGGACAATGACTCCTCCCACCCACTAACCTGGGAGATCAACCTGTCAGTAGTCACGTCGTGTTTGTAGAGTAACACTTCATTACCCCCCATCCACACTCCCTAGATATCATTCTATGTGACTTATGTGTGGTGGTGCCAGTCCCTGCCACCATCATCCTGGGAACCTTCCCTGCTGAATGATCTATCTGGCCTCAGAGCACTCGCCTCCATTCTGCTTTCCCACAGGTGGACAGACACCTGAGTGGAATGGAATTCATCAAAGTAGATTCACATCCTAGGTTCATGGCAGCAGAAGGAGGTAAGAGTCAGAGACAGAGACAGAAACATCATTTTAGTAGCACGAGAACTTCCTAGTGCCATTCCACTTGATAAGGAGATTTGGACTTGGTGAACCCTGCCTGGGGTGGTTGCTAGGAATCTGGTGTCCCCCAACTCTGTGCTCTTTCCTCATCACCTCTGAGTAGATGCAACTCCCAAGTTGAGATACAGCTTGTGTTTAAAACGCCCCCATGGTTCACAAAGTTCAACTGCTAAGGGCAAGTCCTCTACTTCCTCACACTCAGTTAAGGAAGCCATTATCTACATAATCTGTAGTATGTGGCTGGGTCTGGCTAGCTAAGAAGGAGTTTTTAATGAAGTGCTACATTCCGTCTCACAAGGACACTCTGGAGCCTGAGACCTGCATAAGCGGTGACTGCTCTACATTGGCCTGTGGATATTTAGTGGATCACAGAGTTCTTGGCCCCCTCGGCCACAGAGACCCCAGGTGTCCATAGTTTTGTAGAGCTGAGGCTGCAGTCACTACCGCGGAAAGGGAAAGCGAAAGCCTTGTGTATTCTGAAGATTTAGGGGAGCAGAAAAATAAGACTGAGGTTACCAGGCTATAGAGAGAAGAACAGGACAAGAATTAAGAAGATATAAAAAAGAGATCACTATTTTACCAAAGAGACCAAACAAGAGAGAAGAAGATTGGGGATGAGATTTTGCATAGAGTGCTGATTTTCAGTTAAGTGGCCCCCCTCTTCCCTCTCAGGCCGGGACTCCTCTTTGCAGGCCTGTCCCTAGGCACAAGGATGATTCGTGCCCTGGACTCAGCTTCTGCTGCACACAGATATTCTTATGCATTCCCTGCAAGGTTTATCATTTTTCTTTCATCCTCATGTCAAACTGGCAATCGAATTGTCACACAACTCTGAGAGTCTACAACCATGTGAAAAATACTAACTATGCACCATTTCCAATTTCTAATTTTATCCAGAATCATCAGCCATTTGCAAGCCTCCCTGTCTTTTTGAAAAGAACTATTCCTGAGCTGAAACGATGGCTCCTACTCTGCACATTGTACTGTTTTTTTTAACCCTCCCATCCCACGCCTTTCTCTTTCAAGGGTTTAGCGAAGCTAAGTAGGAATGATAATTTGAAATCTTATTTTCAACCACCCTCATCCTCCAATTATCTTCTCCTTTTGGTCTGGTTTAGGCTGCAATGACCAGTGTATTCCCTACCTAACTTTCTTTCTCACACTGGGTCACTCTGGCCTTTTTATATCAGTCCCACTTCAATTTCATTCTCCCATCTTAGTCATCAGGACTGTGAAGTGTGTGTATATTTAGCGCCATCTGTTTGGTTGGTTACCTTCT